AAAAATCAGCTGATAGCTTTGTGGGGTTTCTTTTGTATGTAACTAGTTGCTCTTCTCTCACTGCTTTTAAGATTCTCTCTTACCTTTAATCTTTGATATCTTAATTATCATGTATTTCTTGTGGACCTCCTTGGGTTCATCTTGTTTGGGGCTCTTGGTGCTTCCTGGACCTGGATGTCTGTTTCTTCCTCAGGCTAGGGAAGTTTTCAGCTATTATTTCTTAAAACAAGTTTCCTTCACCTTTCTCTCTCTCTTCTCCTTGGATCCCTAGAATGTGAACATTGGTATACTTGATGTCCCATAGGTCCCTTAAACTATCCTAATTTTTAAAAAAGATTTTTTCTTTTTGCTGTTCACCTTGAGTATTTTCCATTACACTGTCTTCCAGATCACTGATTTGATCTTCTGCATCCTCTAATTTGCTGTTGATTCTCTCTAGTGTATTTTTCATTTCTGTTATTGTATTCTTCAAGTCTGATTGATTTTTTAAATAATTTATGTCCCTTTGTTGAAATTCTCACTGAGTTCATCCATTCTTCTCTCAAGTCTGATGAGCATCTTTACAACCATTACTTTGAATTCTTTGGCAAGTAGATTTATTAATTCTCTTTTGTTTAATTCTTTTTCCGAAGTTTTGTCTTTTTTGTTTGTTTGGAGCATAGTCTTCTGGCTCCTCATTTTTACTTTTTCTGTGTTTGTTTTTATGAATTTGACAAAATAGCTAGCTTTCTCAGTCTTGAATGAGTGGCCTTGTGTAGGAAAGCTCCTGGGTAGAGTGCATGTGCCTGGCAGTGTGGGTTGGCTGTCTGACTGGAGCTATAGCAGGTGTGGGCTTGGGGTCCCTGGGCATTCTGCACCAGGGTTGTGCATGTGGAACAGCTGGAGTTGAAGCAGATACAGCCTGAGGTTTCCTGGGGTGCTCTGGGCAGAGGGTGCTCTGGTGGGACAGCTGTAGCAAAAGCTGGCTGTGGCCGGTGGTGGGGGTTCCTAGGGTTGTCATGGTGTGTGCTGCATTGGTGTCACTTGGGGACTGCTGAAGCTCCATTGAGCATGTTGTTGGGGGTCATCTGGAGCTGGTGTGGGTTAGGGGCCCAGGGTTCGCTGAAGTGTCAGTCCAGTTAGCATGCACATAGTATGCTCCTTTCAACATTCTCAAGGTGAAGGGAGAACATGAGTGATGGTACTCACATCACCTCTGATCCCAGGAGTTCCTCCAGTGCCCCTGCTGTTTTTCGGATGTCTTGGTATTAGTAAATAGCAACATTTATTTACTTCATTTATATGTTAATTGCCCTTTAAGCCACAGTTTGTTTTTTTTCTGGCAGGCAAATCTGTGCAGGGATCCCGCAGGGATAGCCTTCCTTACTGTAGTAATCGGGGACAGGGTTCCTCTTGTACCCTGTCTCCATCTCTCTTGCTGTTCTCCATGTGGTCTGTTTTTTGTTGCGCAGAAGTTATTTAATTAGTTCTTCTTTAGGAGCAATTGCTCTATATGTATATGTAGATTCTGTGTGTATATGGGAGAAGGTGAGTTCAGGCTATTCCTACACTGCCATCTTGGACCCCTCTTTAATAATGGTCAATTTAAAAAACCCTTTGAACCTCAATTTTCACTTCTAGGAATTTATTCCACAGAGCCATCATAGAGCCGATCTTATAAATGTAAAGTAGTTCACTCCCTGAAATATATATTCATCAATGAAGATTTGATAATGTTACATCTCTACAATGAAATACTATATAGACTTTTATTAAAAATAGTAAAGTTTTATATTTGCTAGCAGAACTATATCCAGGATATATCAAGTAAAAAAAAGAAAAGTTTCAGAACGGTATTAGGGATCCTTGTGTATTGAAAAAATGCATATATGTGCTTATGTATATCTTGTGTGTGTATACACACACAAAGGACACACAAAAAACTAACTTCTGTCTTTATTTGGTAAGAGGTATGTCAGCTACCAGGGATGGAAGGGGACTTATACTTCTCACTTTCTTTTCTTCATTGTATAAATTTTTTTAATGAGTATACTGTTACTTTTATTGTTTAAAAAAAAGCTAATAAAAAAGGTTTGAACTTCTATGCTAGGTATGTATCTTAGTTATCTATTGCTGCATAACAAAATTTTAAAAATTTAGCAATTTAAACAACACATGTTTAATCTCATAGTTTCTGAGGGATTTGCACTTGAAGCAGCCTAGCTGGGTCTTTCTGGCTTAGGGACTCATGACATTGTATTCAGGCTGTCCTCTGGGCCCTTGTTATCTCAAGTCTGTGCTGAGTGTGAAGGATTGGCTTCCAAGCTCACTCATGTGCTTTTTGGCAATCCTCAGTTTCTCTTTGGCTTTGACCGGAAATTTCAGTTCCTTACTTCATGGGCTTTTCCATAGGGCTCTTCATAACTTGGCAGCTTTGTTCTTCCAGACTGAATGATCTAAGAGAACCAGCATGCAAAATAGGGCTAGTCTTGAAAGTGATGTATCCTTACCTCTGCTATATGCCATTGGTCACAGAGACTAATGCTGTTTTATTGTGGGAGGGTATCAGTAACCAGGAGGTGGGGATCTTTGGAAGCTAACTACCACAGGGGGTTTATAACAGTATATTATCCTTTGTGACAATTTGGGATTCTAGAGAATTAAATTGGGCAACATTTATATGGGAACTATGCTTAGAAGTTAGTTTACCTTCTTGCCAATCCCTAAAAATACTTGGTTTTCTTTTTCAGGTCCAGCACAGAATCAAATGCAAGTTCCATCCGGGTATGGATTGCATCCTCAAAACTATATTGCTTCCTCAGGACAGTACTCTCAAGGACCTGCGAAAGTGACCTCATTGCCATTGGGTGGCCAGAGTGTTGATTACTACTTTGGTTTGTGTACAGTACCAGCACAGAATGTGGTAACTCCTAACACAGCCAACCAACAATCAGGAGCACAGCAGATGTATGGCACGGATCCTCCTGCCCCTCAGGTTGTGGGATCTGCCCCAGGATCTTTCCAGGGTGCCACGTCATCAGCATCCTGTTTGCATACAAGTGCCTCCCAGCCATACTCCTCTTTTGTGAATCACTACAATAGTCCAGTCTTGTACTCTGCCAACCCTTCCGTTGCTTCTCAGGGATTTCCCTCTAGATGTGGTCACTATGCTATGTCAACTGTTTCTAATACTGCATATCCTACTGTTTCATATCCTTTGCCTGCTGGTGATCCATTTGGGCAACAAATGCTTACCTCACAGAATGCTCCAACTTTAAGGCCGGTTAGAGATAATTCATTTTCTGGTCAAAATATAGCTGTCAGCCATCCATCACCACTTCCGCCTCTGCTGTCACACCAGTACCACCAGCAGCAAAGCCTTTCAGGGTACAGTGCTCCCTCGTGGCCGGCTTCAGGCATTCCATCAACCCAAGACAGTTTCATCAGAAACCACCCTCGCTCTCTAGCCACAGCCAACAGCAACCCAACAAATACTGGTAGGTTGAATGAAAAGTTCACCAAAGCATGGTGGAAAATCAGTGCATTTCCAAGTGGGTTTTTATTTGCATGAAGGTTAAAGATGATAATTGCCTAATAGATAAATTGGAAATTAGCCTACCTTTGCAGTTTGTTTGCTTTATTTATTGTGGTATTTTGCAGCATCTCTCTGAACCTTTCCCCTATTCACAGTTAGTCACCCAAACATCTGCCTTGGATAGCCTGGTTTCTTGCCATCGTTGGGATCTCGGACAATATTTATTGATGTGTTTTATGCCTCTTCAATAGTTGTTTTAATGTGCATGAAGTATAGGGCATTGTAGAAAAGATGATGACCTGCAATGCCCACTGGTTTCTCTAAGTGAACCCCTTTTACAGAAGGTATATTTCATAGACTTTCACAGAATAGATAAAAGAGATTTCTGACCTATTAAAGCTGACATTTTCTCATTCCCAAATTGGAATGAGAAAGAGATGGGGAAAGAGAAGAAAGATGCATGAAGAATACCCTTGAAGTTAGTATTTCTGACCTTCCAAAACTAAAATGTGGTTAATTTATTGGTTTAAAAATTTTGTATAAAGGTATATGTCTTTTAGTGTGGGGTTTCCATAGGATGTACTCATTTTAATTCAACCTGTGGACATAAACTTAACAAAATATGCCCTTAAACTAAATGAAAATGTATGTAGAGAACAGGAATTGGTAAAGCTATAGTAGTATTCTGAATGAAGTCTTTGGATTATGTATCAGAGTCTGGATAGCCATAGATCAAGGATGTTGTAGAAAAGTATCCTTCTCTGGACAATTAGATTATATAAAATTGGATTTTAGAATATTAGACTTGAACTGTACATTTGAGATATTTTCTGTCATTGCTATGTTATTTAGAAACACTTTAGCTATAAACAACTAAGTGTTTAAACAAGGTGGTATTTTTCTCTCATAACAAGAAACCTACGTAGATTCAGTAGATCAGATGTCCTCAGTGTCTTTTTCTCTTTCCGTTCAGCCATCTTTAACATGTCGGTTTATAGCAACAAGGTAATTTCTGTCCCTGCAGATATGAAGTCAGAGTTAAAATCAGGAAGAAGGGAGAGGAAAGGAGATGGGTGGTGGTATTCACAGACTTCTCATATCATTTGCCATAGCTGTTTTAAAAGACCATCCCTAATTTTAGGGAAGTCTAGAAAATGTATGTTTAGCTTTGTAGCCTCCATGGTAGAGGCAGGCAAGAAAGAAGGGGGTTAGCATTGCCTGGGTCTTGGGTATGTCAACTTAAAGCATCTGTCATAGTTCCCAAATCTGTGCACCCGAGTCACTTGCATGGATTGTAATCTTCAACCCCACTTTACTAAGCTAGAATAGACTCTCCAGAATGGTGTTGAGAATCTGGGTTTCTGACTTGATCTCATGATACCTAGTAACAGATTGAAATTCTACTGTAGTTCTTTGGTTTTACAGATAAGGAAAGCTGTCCAGGTTGGGTTGCCTGTGGTCCTTAGTGTTAGAAACAGAGCTTGTCCTGGAGCTGTTTCTTCTGACCTTCAGTCTACCTTTTCCAGAAGCAGGGCTCTTTGTTCCCTAGAAACTCTTTTTTCTTTCTCTCCTTGTTCAGTCGTCCTTTTACAGATCAGCTTATCCTAAGGTTCCTCTGATTTAAGGATTTTATGGCTTTCATGAGCAAAAAAAGAAGAAATACAGGGAATTCCTATCTTATTTCTGAGATGGGACTGGAACTCTATATGGAACCAATTTATGCTCAGATGTAGGATCAGGGAAATATGGGGCTACTTGGCTAATGAACAGAACACCTAATTGGGAAGGGTTTTTCACTGAAAAAACATTGAATAAAAAGTAAGAATAATTACAAAATGACCTTCTATTTGAATAACTGGTAATTGGTCCTCTTCATAGAGAGATGGGGTATATGTCCATTCTTTTAATTAATTTATGAAATTAATTAATGTTAAGAAGTGGGTTTTTTTTGTTTTTGTTTGTCTTTTTATTGGTACATTACTTTTTAATTACAGTTCAAAGATTAACAAATTAAATACTTCTCAGGTGAATTTGATACATGTGCTCCACCATTTCAAAAGAAATGAATGTTACCTTTAAAACCTACTTTGAAATTAAATATTACAGAAATTCTCAAGCTTTCTCAGTCAGGTTGATGTTTGTCAATACTTTTTCATGATACCCCAAGCAACTTAGTAGTTACTTCATAAGGCATTTGACAGATATCACTGTGTTTCTTTTGAAAATTTAAAACATCCCTTTACCTTTTGTTGTGCATTTGTTGCAGGGGTAACTTGGATGTTAGGTACAAGGTTTGGGAACCATGGAGTGTTGATTGAAATTTTCTAGAGAGACAGACAGTTGGACACTGATAAATTATGTTGTAACATTAAAATGAGAACCTTAGGTATTAAACAGTTTTGTGTGAAATTCAGCCATGGAGTAATTGGCAAAAATAATTACATTCTTATGACTTAATTATACTACTTTTATTTTTGGGTATAGTAAAAGTTCTCAGACAATTTGTAAAGGGTAGGAGATCCAAAAGCATAAACGTGAGTTAAGTTTTGATTTTTGATTACCAAAAATACAGTGATGTCCACAGACTGTTATTTTTAGGCAGTGATGCGTTCATATTCAGAAACTTGGAACAAAAGAGACCTTTAAATATTTTATTTTAGAAAAAGATGTCAGCATATTTCAGCACTAGAACTTCAGATTATTTTATTTAAAAGTCTGCCGCAAGTATGTATATCTTGGGTGCTGTCTTTAATTGCTAACTCAGAGTAAAGTTTTGACTGATGTTTAAAAGGTATTGTTTTCTGGGTCATTAAAATCTTTTTAAACTACTGTATGTAAATTTCTCAAGGATTAGAAGCCCTTTTTTTTTTTTGGTAATATTAATCCACAATTACATGAAGAATATTATGTTTACTAGGCTTCCCCCTTCACCAAGTCCCCCCCACATACCCCTTCACAGTCACTGTCCATCAGTGTAGTAAGATGCTCTAAAATCACTGCTTGTCTTCTCTGTTGCACAGTGCTCCCTGTGCTCCCCCGACACTATACATACTAATTGTAATGCCCCCTTTCTTTTCCCTGCCCTTATCCCTCCCTTCCCACCCATCCTCCCCAGTCCCTTTCC